CAGGAAAGGCAGCTAAAAACTTGCTCTTCCCATCTGCAGTCCCAGGCAGTGGAATGCAGCCGGTTAAGGAGGATTCAGAGGGTACCAAAGCCGGAGCCATTGGGATGGGGACACCGAGCAGACGCAGCAAAGAGCAGCTGGAAGTGGGTTGGGAACAAGGAGCACTGAGAAAGGTGACTACGGAGAAGACGGGAACAGCATGGGAAGGAGGCAGGGAGAGGGAATGGGGAGAGGCTTGCACTGGGATGCGGCTCTGTCCATCCATCCCTCCGCTCTGCACCCACCCATGGGAGAACAGCTCAATAGGAGGAGGACAATGTTGGGAGCAGAGGAGGATGGAAGAGGAGAGATTGGGATGGGACCTTTGGATTTCCCAGGGGATTTCCAAGTAACTTGGCATAATAGATAAACACAAAGCAGCAAAGGGACCTTTAAAGGTCCCTTCCAACCCGACCCATTGGATGAGCCTCAGATAAAACACCTCCTTAGACAACAGCTCTCCCTGCCAAGAGGAGATGCGAGGAAGCAGAAGCTTCATAAGCAATGCTGCTCTTCACAGGATGATAGAATGGGTTGGGTTGGAAGAGACCTTGAAGATCATCCAGCTCCAACGCCCTTGTCATGGAGCCCCAAATCCATGTCCCATATCCAAATGCCCAAATCCAAGTCAACTGAGGGATGCACAGAGAAAGAACCTCAGGACGTTTTTGTCCCATCTACACATTCATGGTGGTCAATACAAGCAGCTCATGGACCAGACCAAGGGCCCAAGCTGAAACCAGACCTTTGGCACTGCTGAGCACCATTCAGTCCACACTAAGGCAGGGGACAGGCAAAGCCACCCCCCAAACCCCAACCCATCCTGCTTTGCCCACACAGGAGCTCATCCTGATGGAGCCAGCGGCTCATTCTGCATGAGCAGCACATTCCCTGGAAGCAATAAATGCCCCTCAGGTCATTAGTATGGAAATGTATTCCCGGCTCCACGGCAGCGGGATGTTGGCGCAGCTTGGAAGCAGCTTGTCGGGTTTTGCTTCTCAATGTGTGGACATTAAAGCCTCCCATTACAATGGGGATGATTTCTTCCCTTCTGATGAATAGCCTGCCATAAATAGACTCTGATTAATTGCGGCTGCACTCGGGAGCGCTGGGAATGCAGCACTGGCTGCTATGGATGGGGATAATGGTCATCAGCTGCCTTGGAGAGCCATCGAGCAGGAGAGGGCTCGGCTCTGCTGTGGAGCCAGGTGATGTTTCAAGTCCTTGCACCAGGCAGAGTCACCCACAGAAGTGCAGGCAGCTCTTTCCTATCTCTCACTTCCAGCTGGTAGGAAGCAGACATGGGTCAAGCATCCCAATGGGAATCAGGAATCACACACTTCTCCATTCAACCCATCCCAGTGTCCCACCACCCTCACGGGGAAGAACTTCTGCCTCAGAGCTCATCTCAGTCTCCCCTCTGGCAGGTTCAAGCCATTGCCCTTGTCCTGTCCCTACATCCCTTGTCCAAAGCCCCTCTCCAGGTTTCTTGCAGCCCCTTTAGGCACTGGAGCTGCTCTAAGGCATAGATACCCTTGAGCATCCCATCCTCATGATGCCCAAGTGCTGCAAGCAAATCCCCCTGTTCCCCTTCCTGGAGCTGCACAGAATTTCTACATAATATATCCTTATGAAAATAGAATAAATGGAATTATACCTATTCCTGGCAGCATTCAAGGCCAGGATGGAGCAACCTGGGCTAGTGGAAGGTGTCCCTGCCTGTGGCAAAGGGTTGGAACTGGATGGGCTTTAAGGTCCCTTCCAACCCAAACCATTCCATGATTCTGTATAATAAATATATGTGTGTGTATATATATACACACACACACACACCCCC